AAGGCAGGAAGGCAGGAAGGAAGGAAGGAAGGAAGGAAGGAAGGAAGGAAGGAAGGAAGGAAGGAAGGAAGGAAGGAAGGAAAGGAAATCATAATACTATGACTTGGATTGCCTACAGCCAAATGCATGGATATACACAAAGCCTCCTGGCTAGCCAGCTACAAGGCTAGTGGGGGTATTTTACACACCATCACAAAATCCAGCGGAGGAACATAAATGTGGCTATAGCAAACTTCACATCCTTTTTAGCTGTCTCACTGATGTATCTCATGATGTATCTCATTGATGCATCATGCATGTGTGTTAGTCCTGGAGTTTGAACTCAGAGCCTGGGTACTGTCTCTGAGGCTTTTTTTGCTGAAAGCTAGTGCTCTGTCACTTGAATCAGAGCTATACTTCTGGCTTTTCTTTGGTAGTTAATTGAACATAAGAGTCTCAGGACTTCTGACTGGGATGGCTTTGAACCTTGATCCTCAGATCTCAGCCTCCTGAGAAGTTAGGATTACAGAAAGGAACCACCAGTGTCCAGCTTTGTGGAATCATTTTAACAGGCAATTTTTTTAAAATTTGATCAAACACTGTAACAACACAAGCATAAACCCTTCTTGAATATAGGAAGACTTAAGACTATTGAGAAGAGATAATATGTTCTTCAGGTATCCTGATTGATTACTTTCATTTCTTTCAGATGTAAGTGTGCAGTTGAAAAAAATGCCTTCCTTTACTAGAAGTTCTTATAGGACTTCATTGTGCTCCAAACATTTGGCGTACCATGTTCCACAATTCTGCCACAGGAAAGACAATGGTGTCAGTTGAGAAGAGATTTGAGTGTAGTCATTTTGGTGCAATCTAACCTGGTTTTCTTTGGGTAAGTTAACATTGCTTTTCTTCACTTGTATGGATGAACAGAGTTTGATCAATGTGATGGTACAGGAAAGAGGAAAGGAGGTTTTGAGGAAATAATTACGTGTGAATTTTAAAGAAAAAACATTATGTCCCCTAGCTCATTGAACTGATTTTTAGGCATTGTAGATGCACAAAAATGAAGGAATACTTTATGCTTATCCTAGCCTTCCTCAGAAGAGGAGAATTGTCATGTGTTTTCACACTTTCTCTTTTTTTTTTCTGTAGCTCCAAGTCAACAGGCAAGTAAGGAAATCTGTACCTTATTTATTAGGTTGCCTACATGTCTTCGATACTTGGCATTCTCTTCAATGAGTCTGCTATAGTGGTCTTCTTTTGACTCTAGGAGGCCTCCCAGTTTTGTGATCTATGGAGAAAAATCAGTGAAAACACTAACCTGGAACAATCATACAAGCTATATATGGGTGTTAAGAACAAATGAAGACAGTGATTTATCTATACTTTATTCCAAAATTCTCTTACACTGTTGTACACTGGTGAATAATGGGATGCTGTGAATCAGATCTTGGTTGGACTGTACATAAACAGATGAGCACAAGTTATTCTAGAGTTTTACATCATATTTTATACTATGAAACTGCTTTGCAAATAACACCTATTAGGTCCAATCTTCACAACTTTTTTGGTTTTTTTGATTTTTTTTTTGGGGTCCAGTTGTGGGGCTTGAACTCTGGGCCTTGGCGCTGTCCCTCAGCTCTTCAGCTCAAGACTAGCGCTCTACCACTTGAGCCACAGTGCCACTTCCGGCTTTTTTCTTTTTGTGTATATGGTGCTGAGGAATTGAACCCAGGGCCTCTGGCATGTAAGGCATGCGCTCTACCACTGAGCCACCTTCCCAGCCCCTACAACTTTTTTGTATAGACAATGTATACACACATTTGATTCTATTTGAAGTAAAGCAAGACACATATGTAGGTCAAGAGACATTCTCAACCCTGAATAAATGGCCTCCAGTTCTTTTTCCTTTTAAGTCTGGCCAAATATATTTCATGTTCTTACCTATGGTATTTTTTTTCAGGAAAAACATTAAAAATTAAAAGTTGTATTCGTAGGCTGGAGATATAGCTCAGTGGCAGAGCATTTTCCCAGCATCACTAAATCCTCAGAATATGCCCTTTTAAAGATGGCATATAGGATTACTTATCAGGAAAGCTACTCACAAGTTCCCCTGAGGAGCTATCTTAATTTTTCAAAGCAACTATAGAGGAAAAACTTACATAGACTTTCCCATTTAATAACCATTCTAAGGATGTCCTTCAGTTTCCTCAAGTTTGAAATATATTCATGTATAAATGAGTATTTGCTTTACACAATGGTGAAACAAATTTGCTGCAAAATTCATAGGGTTTTCTTTCTCCATTTTTTTATGTGTGTGTATGGGGGGACTGAACCCAGGATCATGTTCTATTATTGAGCTATACATGCCCAGTCCTTATGGGGTTTTTCTCCCATCTTCAGCCCCCATAATGATTGAGCAGATAAAATGCTTTATGACATCCATCACCAGGTAAGATATATTTGTTTAAACTGGGCCTTGGTGGCTCACACCCGTAGCCTTAGCTACTCAGGAAGCTGATATCTGAGAATTGCAGTTCGAAGCCAACCTGGACAGGAAAGTTCATGAGACTCTTCAATAAACCATCAAAAAAGAAGAAGTGGAGGGGCTGGGAAGGTGGCTCAGTGGTAGAGTGCTTGCCTCGCATGCATGAGGCCCTGGGTTCCATTCCTCAGCACCACATAAGCAGAAAAGGCTGGAAGTGGTGCTGTGGCTCAAGTGGTAGAGTGCTAACCTTGAGCTGAAGAGCTGAGGGACAGTGCCCAGGCCGAGTTCAAGCCCTATGACTGACAAAAAAAAAGAAGTGGAGCTGTGGCTCAAGTGGTAAAGCACTAGCCTTGAGCAAAACAGCTCAGGGACAATGTCCAGGCCAAGTGTGCAAGCCTCAGAGCCAGACAAAAAAAAGAAAAAAAAAGATACCATTACTGGGGCAGGGCCTACTGTTCTTAATTGGCTTTTTGTTTTTTTCTGGTCGTGGGGCTTGAACTCTGTGCCTAGGCACTGTCCCTGAGCTCTTGCTCAAGGCAAGCACTCTACCACTTGAGCCATAGTGCCACATCTAGTTTTCTGGTGGTTAATTGGAGATTAGAGTCTCACAGACCTTCCTGCCTGGGCTGGCTTTGAACCATGATCCTTAGATCTCAGCCTCCTCAGTAGCTAGGATTGTAGGTGTAGCCACCAGCACCTGCCCAGCAAAACTTTTCCACTTTTTTTTTTGTCCAGTCCTATGGTTTGAGCTCAGGGCCTAGGCACTCTTCCTGAGCTTCATTTGCTCAAGGTTGGCACTCTATCACTTGAGCCACAGAACCACTCCTGGCTTTTTTTTTATTTATGTGGTACTGAGGAGTGGAACCCGGGCATCATGCATGCTAGACAAACACTGACCACTAAGTCACATTCCCAGCCCTTACATGGCTTTTTTGAAGACTGATACTCTACCACTTGAGCAAACATCCACTTTTGACTTTAGCTACTTAATTGGTTCTAAGAGTCCCTTGGATTTATCTGCAGAAGCTAGCTTTGATCCTCAATCCTCAGATTTCAGTCCCCTGAGTAGCTAAGATTACAGGTTTGAAGCATTGATGCCCAATTTAGCTGGTTTTGTTTTTGTTTTTAGACAGGACCACAATTATGTATCTTAAACTGGCTCAGGATTCTCCTACTTCAGTATCCCAAATGCTAGGATTGCAGGTGTTCCCTGTCACATCTGGCCTTTTTTCTTATTTAATTAATGAGGAAAATATCATATCAATGTCCCTACTGCTTTGATTGGTTACATACATTGATTGCATACATCATTTAAAGTAGGTAATATAGATATTATCTCATTTTAACAATGGTAGCAAAGTAAAGAGAATTTGAAAGGATGTGTCTAGAAGTGGAAAACACTAGAATCCATATTTGTCATCCATCAGTGTAGGCCTTTTTCTATTCCATGTTATTGCCTCTCCTAGTTTTATCTTGGAATAGCGAGTTCACACATTCTAATAAAGCAGAATGAATATCTTTCTATTTTTATTGTAAACTTCATGGCATGTTTTGAATGAATGACTTTCAAGATCAGAGTAGTAACAATTTTACAGATTGGATTTTTTTTAATTTGCTAACTTCAGATGAAAGAAACGATAGCAAAATATTTCTTATAAGATAATACAAATTTTAGAGACAAAGCAATATCTCTGAAAAAGCCAGTTTAGCTTACAATAAAAAAGGACTAAAGGGCTGGGAAGGTGGCTCAGTGGTAGAGCGCTTGCCTTGCTGCCTGAGGCCCTGGGTTCGATTCCTCAGCACCACATAAGAAAAAAGAAAAAAGCCGGAAGTGGCGCTGTGGCTCAAGTGGTAGAGAGCTAGCCTTGAGCTGAAGAGCTGAGGGACAGCGCCCAGGCCCAGAGTTCAGGCCCCACGACCGGACCCAAAAAAAAAAGAAAAGGACTAAAATTTTTTATATTTCTGTTAGAGTGTAAAGTGTAACCAATTTAAGATTATAATTGACATAGATATATAATAGCATACATATAGACATACATACATAATACATACATACATAATAGCATATATTTAAAATGTGCACGTTGGTCAGGTTTTGTTTCTGTTTCATTCTAGCATCACCCTGTATCCAACTCCTCCTGGTCTTCCTGCCTCAACTTTCTAAGTGTTAAGTTTTGGCATATGTAATATCACTACAATCAAACTAATGAATGTATGCAGCACTCCCACCTCTACCACCTAAGTTTCCCTGCCTGCCCCCTGCTGTCTCTTACTTCCACACTACCAGCCTCAGGCAACCATTGACCTGTGTTCCCTGACTCTGGATTATTTTGTATTTTCAAGAATTTTATATAATGAAATCAAATAGCACTCATGCCTTTTTTGTCTAGTTCATTTCAATGCACACAATTATTTTGAAACTCATTTGTCTTGCATGTAAATTTTCATTGTTAAATAGTATTTCGTTGTATGGATCTGATTTTTTTTTTTGTCGGTTGTGGGGCTTGAACTCTGGGCCTGGGCACTGTCCTTGAGCTCTTCAGCTCAATATGAACACTCTACCACTTGAGCCACAGTGCCACTTCTGGTTTTCTGGTGGTTAATTGGAGATAAGAGTCTCATGGACTTTCTTGTCTGGGCTGGCTTTGAACTGTGATTCTCAGATCTCAGACTGGCTTATAATGCTTTTTTTTTTATCCATTCAATCATAATTGGACATTTGGATTGCTTTCAGTTGTGGGCTTTTATGTATATGTGAGCCTCCACATATATATCTCTGTATGAACAGAGATTTCTCTTGGGTAAGTACCTAGAAGTATAATGATAAAAGTATATGTTTACTATTTAAAGAAATTGTCAAAATATTTTCCAAAGTGGTTGTATCATTTTACATCATTCCAGCAATGTATGAGAGTTGTAATTGCTCCACATTCTGTCCAACTTATGGCATGGTCAATCTTTAATTTTAGGTATGTGATTTTTTTTACTGTTATTCACTAATTTGTACTTAATATTGTTGAGGATATTTTCACATAAAAAGCTGCCATTCATGTATCTACTTTGTAATGTGTCTATTCAAATCTTTTTCTCTTTTTTCCCTTTCTCTCCCCTCTTTTTCTCTCCTTTCTCTTCCCTCTCTCTTCTTCCCTCCCTCCCTCTCACCCTCTTTTTTTCTTCCTCCCTCCCTCCCTCCCTTCTTCTTTCTCCCTTCCCTCCCTCCCTCCTTTTCCTTCCTTTCCCCCCTCCTTCCCTTCCTTCCTTCTCCTCCCTCCCTCCCTTCCTTCTTTCCTTCCTTTCCTTCCTTCCTTCCTTCCTTTCTCCCTTTTTCCTCTCCTTCCCTCTCTTCCTTCCCTCCCTCCTTCCCTCCCTCCCTTCTTCCTTCCTTTCTTCCTTCCTTCCTTTCTTCCTTGCTCTCTGTCTCTGTGTCTCTTTCTTTCTTTTGTCTGTCTATCTCTCTTTTTTTCCTTCCAGTATTGGCACTTGAACTCAGGGCTTTGAGTTTACATGCTTGTTTACAGCTAGTGTTCTAATACTTGAGCCACACCTATACTCTGGTATTTTGTTGGTTAACTGGAGATGGAGTCTCGTGTACTTTTCAGGCATTGAATTGCAAGCCTCCTGCCCCCCAACCTTTGTGTCTATTTTCCCCAAGTATTTTTTTCTCAATACTGAGTTTTAGAGTTCTTTATAAATATATTCTACATACAAGTGCTTTATCATATCTGTGATTTGCAAAAATATTCTTCTAGTCTGTGGCTTGTCTTTTCATTAAGAGCTCATTTTAAAACTTAAAAAAAATTTCAAGACAGAAAAATTTGGAAGATAGAGGCTATAAAACATCACATGAAAGTATGCCAAAGAGTACTTTATTAAAGTAAAGTAATATTTATGCAAGAATTGATAGGAGAGTGGCAACATTTTTCTTTTGCAATGGAAGATATTACTAGATAACCTTGAACATGGCTATGTGATTATGTGATTTCTCTTCTTAAGACGGTGTCTTTTCCTTGATGTCTCATCAGGGATGGATGCTAGGGAAAGGGAAACCATCAAGGCCTCCACAACAGAAAGCAGCATTGAATAAAGGAAGAGAAATTGTGGGTTAGTAGAGTGAACTGACATGCACTTGACCTTACACAGCAGGAAATAGCACTGTGAGTCAACACACAGGAAGTCAGGTGAGAGACAGCACTCACTCATTCAATTGGTCCTCAATCTCAGATTTCATAGATACTGTTTGGCAGCTCAGCCCAGTGATCCCAACCTTCTATTTATAATAACTATTTCTTGAGGCATTTTGTCTAGATTTCCACATAATACCTGCCTGGTCCTTGTGCTTGAATTTGGCAATTAAGGATCTCAATTCTGATGGACAATCTTTTTTTCTTATCTTTCCCCCACTAACTCATTCCCTGTAGCTCAGTGAAGGAAGAAGAGGATTCAGATTTGAGGACAAATTAAAGTGAAGAAAGAAGAAAAATCTGTGGATTCTAGACCCTGAATATGTAATCTGTGGGTTTCAATACTTTGTCTGGATCTGGAATCTACCCATAGTGGATAGTATTTATTCTATGATAATTTTAATCTTTGAAAATATAAAGCACCTGTAAATGAGAGGCAAAAGGGCAATGGCTCATTCCTGTAATTCTAACTACTCAGGTGGCTGAGATCTGAGGGATCATATTTCAAAACTAGCTGGGGAGGAAAGTCTCTGAGACTCTTATCTCCAATTAACCAGCAAAAAACGAGAAGTGGAGGTGTGGTTCGAGTGTTAATGTACCAGTTTTGAGAAAGAGCAAGAGCTCAGAGCTTTGGAAGCAAAGCATGTGCACATGGGCTAAAACAACAACAAAAATCCTATTAAATTATAACTATTAAGAGATGCAGGAATATGTTGAATAGAAGTATAAAGTAAGAATAATGGTTTAGATGTATGCTATGTCTTTTATGCTTTTATCTCTCTCCAGTCCCCAGTTTTATCTTTTATCTCTCTCCAGTGCCATTTTTTTGTCTTCCTGGAGTACTTTAAACAAACCTTATCATATTAATTCACTTGTATTTTTTGACATACACCACTAACAAATAAGGGCTTTTAAAAGCATACTACTACTACTATCACACCTACTAAAATGAACGTAATTTTTATATTTTCTTTCTGGTGCCAGGGCTTTATATTCATTAAACATAAGCTTTACTCCAGCTTCAGCACAGTAACTTTTTTTTTCTTTAGTACTGGGGCTGAACACAGAGCCCTTGGCTTGCTGGACACTACCCCTTAGCTTTTTCGCTCAAGGCTGGTACTCTACCACTTGAGCCATACCTCTACTTCCAGTTTTTTGGTGGTTAATTGGAGATAAGAGTCTCATAGACTTTACTACCCACACTAGATTTGAATTGTGATCCTCAGGTCTCCGCCTCCTGAGTAGCTAGGATTATGGGCATGAGCCACCAGTATCCTGCTAGTTTCTGCATTTTTTTTGCGGGGGGGGGGGGGAGGTCCGGTCGTGGGGCCTGAACTGTGGGCCTGGGCACTGTTCCTCAGCTCTTCAGCTCAAGGCTAGTGCTCTTAAGCCACAGTGCCACTTCCAGCTTTTTTTTTTTTGCTTATATGGTGCTGAGGAATGGAACCCAGGGCCTCAGGCATGCAAGGCAAGCTCTCTACCTCTGAGCAACCTTCCCAGCCCTAGTTTCTGCATTTTGAAAGACACAATAGTCTAACTAGAAAGCAGACACAATAGTCTAAATAGACAAGATTTAAAAATTTATAACATGTGACATAGAGCTGTGGCTCAAGTGTCGAAGCTTGACTGAAAAAGCTGAGGGACAAGTATCCAGGCCCTTAATTCAAACCCCAGTATTGGTACACACACAAGAAAAATTTCAAATCACAAAAATAGGGGCTGGGTATTTGACTTAGTGGTAGAGTGCTTGCCTAGCATGCATAAAGCCCTTGGTTTGATTCTTTAGTACTACATAAGCAGAAAAAAGCCAGAAGTGATACTGTGGCTCAAGTGGTAGAGTGTTAACGTTGAGCAATTGAAGCTCAGGGACAGTACCCAGGCCCTGAGTTCAAGCCCCAGGACTGGCAAAAAATAAAAAGAAAGAAAATAATCATTTCTCTACTTCTGTTAGTAAATAGTCCTGCTACAACACCAGCATATGGCTATCTTAACAAGCATACTTCCTGAAGGCTGATAATGTATTAAACTTGCTAATATAATGGTATTGGATATAAAAATGATAGCAGGGCATGAAGAGGTCTTTCTTACCAAGAAGTCAAGCTCCTCATTTAGATTGTGGTACTTATCCAGTTTGGCTGTCAATAAGAAAGATGTATCTCTAGAATCATTAGCTTCATTTGAATCAATGTCTGCGCCCTAAGATAAAAAATATGTGCTCTTTTAGTACCTGCGACATTTGATAATACTTTATTGATTTAAACATCCAAGAGATTATGAGTTAAAAGATCACCAAATTTACCTGAACTTATGTTTTTGTACGCTGAAGACAATGTATAGCAAATGTTAAACTCACCTCAGTCTTGTGATATGCTGTCTCTCTAGCAATTAATTCTCGAAGCATGGAGATTTTGTCTTTATGCTTCAGTAGCTAAGAAACAAAAGAATTATGCTTCAGTAGCTAAGAAAACAAAAGAATTTTAAATTTCAGGAGTGAAGAAATAAAACTACATTGTATAAAATATATGATAAAATCAGGGGCTGGGAAGGTGGCTCAGTGGTACAGCACTTGCCTTATATGCATGAGGCCTTGGGTTCAATTCCTCAGCACCACATAAGCAAAAAGAAAAAAGCCGGATGTGGCGCTGTGGCTCAAGTGGTAGAGCGCTAGCCTTGAGCTGAAGAGCTGAGGGACAGTGCCCAGGCCCAGAATTCAGGCCCCATGACCAGACCCCCCCTCCAAAAAAAAAAATCAAACCATACAGAGTCCAATCTTGTCGTCTCTAAAAGATGATGTTTTACAGGCTTTTCTGCAGGCCTGGGCTACATTCCCAGCTTAAAATTCAACTTTAAGGAAAATAACAAGGTTGTGGGTACAATAACTTTTTATTCATTCCTTTCATAATAAAAATAATGTGTGTGTGTGCACACACGTGTGTGCTGGTACAGGAATTCTGAACTCTGAACTCTGAGCTTTATGCTCTTGACATCCCCTCCATCAACTCTTGGCTGGCACTCTACCACTGGAGCCTCACCTCCAATCTGGCATTTTCTGCCTAGGCTGACTTCTAATCACAGTTTTCAGATCTCAGACTCTTGAGTAGCTAGGATTGTAGATGTGAGCCATCAGCACCCAGAAAAACTGTATATCTAGATAACTATCATCTACCTGGAGAGTGAGATAGATATCTGTATATCTAGATATGTCTAGATATAGAGCTGATAGGTATCAAGATTGATCTATCTATCTATCTATCTATTTATCTATCTATCTATCTATCTTTTTTGCCAGTACCAGGGCTTGATTTTAGGGGCCTTTCACTCACTGGGCTTCCTTGCTTATGGTTGGTATTCTACAATTTGAACCATGTCACCAGCCTGAAAAATACATCTTAATATTCAAGCATTTACACTCTCCAAATACAAATAAACACATAAAATTTCATTGTGAAATATTTCCAATATATATTTCAAAATAGAAGAAAATAACTTAGCTTCAGCAATTAATAGCTACTGATTCTCCCCTCCAGCTATACAGTCTGCCTTTGAGTTCCTTCCGTGTGTCACAAGGCAGGGATGCCCCTAGTGCAACAAAGGGAAGGCCGAGCTGGAATATCTAACCCACAGAAAGCCATTGTGCCGCTGTTGCCTTCACATAGAAACTGTTCTGACTGAGCTAGTAGAAGTCATCCGGAAGAACCATAAAGACATCTGACCAGACCCACCACCACTGAGGAGGCAATGGCTAGGGTTCAAAATCTGCAGCTCACATCGTAGAGAGGGGAAAGGCAAGGTCTACAAAATTTAACATTAATTGGGTTAACTGTATACTGGTGAGCTTCCTATACATAAGAATAATACAAATAATAATAATAATACAAATTGTCATTCAAAACAATTTGTAGTTAGATGCAGGTGGCTCATACTTGTAATCCTAGCTACTCAGGAAGCTGAGATATGAGAGTCAAAGTTCAAAGACAGATAGGGCAGGAAAATTCAGAAGACTCCAATTAACCACCAAAAAGCCAGACATGGAGTTGTGGTTCAAATGGTAGAAAAATAGCCTTGAACCAAAAACCTAAGGACCATGCCCAGGACTTGAGTGCAAGCCCCAGAACCAGCACACACACACACACAAAATACAATTCACAGCTAATTGTCAATCATATCATTTACATTTCATTCCCATTTCCTCCATACTCCTTCAAATTATTAACTTTGTATCATATAGTCTGTCAGCATTTCAGTAACATAGAGAAAGTAACCCAAACAATATAAAAGTCTGAAACTGCATTTTTGTAACATCCTCATTTGGACTTAGATTTGAAAGACTGTTGTAGAGAAGTGGAGGTGGGTATTTCCTGTGTGTGACAGGGCATATTTCTTGGTCCTTCCCCAGATATCTGCAACATGTTTTCCATTCAGAAAAATTCAGTTATTTAGGACCCAAGAGTCCAGATTTCAATGCTTTATTCCCTTAGCCCCATAAAATTGTCATTTATGTATTCCTGTCAGATAAAAACGTTAACATGCTTTCTTAATTTTGTTTCTCAATCTCTTTATTACCACATCAAAAAGGGATAATTGAAGAAACTTCACTGTCAACTTGATTGGATTGAGAAATGCCTAGGACATCTGTAAAGCACACTTCTAGAGGTATCTGTGAGAACATTTCAGACATAGATAGTGCTCTAATGAATGGATTGATCCCAGTTGATGGATTCATAATATAATGGCATTATTGAGAGGTAGTGAAAGAGACATAGGAGGTTGACCTAGTTTTGGGTTAAAGGTCATGGGGATGTGTTCTGGAGGGGGGAACATTATCTTGCCTAGACTGGTTCTATATTTTTCTTCTCCACTTCAGCTGCCACGAGGTGAACAACCTCTTATACCATATACTCTGGCCGCTGTGATGTTCTGCCTCATGATAGGCCCAGAAACACAGAGCCAAGTGACTTAGCACTCCAAAATTGTGAGCTAAAATAATTCTCTTAAGTTGTTTATGTCAGATATTTGGCCATGGCAATACAAACGTGACCAACACATCGAGGAATGGATGCTCTTGCACTTCTTCCCACCTGAGAAATAAAATCACTTTTTTTCCATTTTCCCATTATGAATGACAAAGTTTTAAAGCACTACAGCAATACTAAACACTGTTGTTGGGTGCTGGTAGCTCACACATGTAATTGTAGCTACTCAGGAGGCTAAGATCTGAGGACCAAGGTTCAAAGCCAGAAAGAAAGTCCATGTGACTCTTACCAATTAACCAACAAAAAGCTAAAAGTAGAGAAGTGGCTCAAGTGGTACAGTTCAGCCTTGAGCAAAAAAACGCCAACTGACAGCTGGAAGCCTGAGTTCAGGCCCCAGTATCCATACAAAAAACAAATGAAACAACAAGACAAACAAGTAGTGCCATGCATTAGTGAAAATATAATCACTCCAAATTTTCTGCAGATGAGTAAGACCTTCCATTACATTCTCAGATGATAAAACAAGCCAAATGTTGAATGATAGATCTACTTTATGAGAGGCATAATCAAACTAATCTGATCCCCCCCAAAACATTTTTTAAATGAATCCACATTTGAGGAGCAACTTTTCTGGGACCCTTTGACTATGTTTTTTCACTAAAAAAATTTAGAATGAAATATATAGTACCTGTTTATCTAACTCTTTCTTCCTGTGCTGAAAGTTCTTCAGTTTTTGCAGCATTATGTCACTAACTTTCTTATTGTCTTTGAAATGTTCAGTATCAGGATTGCTGATGTCCTAAGGGAAATAGTTGGAGAAAACAGATTGAAAGATTTTCTGAGACATTAAAAGGAGGAAAGAGAAAAGGTAAATAAAACAAATTTCCCTTCTGAAGTAAGTGGCCAAACCAAAGGAGATAAAATCATACTTCATTCTTCCTATACTCTTCACAAGACCTCCCATAATGAGTTAATACAGAAAGACCTCCTATTGATTCACACTTTTACATTTGTTATTGGGACACATTAGTTTAATTGTATATAAACCTTTAACCAAATTTTAGACAACTTCCTTATACATAACATCAGAATAATTCAACACTCTCAAGAATATGGAAACTCTAGATATTTTAAGGGTCCACAGAATGAAAATAGTTGTAGTAACATAACTTAGAGGTATAATGTGCAAGGGTTTGTATTTGAGTTCTGTCACTTAATCATACATGAAACCTCAGACCAGAAACTCAACTATCCATTCATAGGCCTGGTTTTCTGAGTTAAAAAAAAACAAAACTTAAAGCCTAATATGATAAAACAACAACAACAATAACAATAACGATAACAAGGTAAGGACAGAATGAGATACTCCTTAAGTATCGAGGACAGTAAATATAAATGCATCCAAAGCCCTGTCATGTGGTAAGCAATTCTTGCTGAGAGTCCATTATGAGCTTACCTCTCTCTGCTTGAGATACTAGACCTACAGCACTCCTATGTGTCTGAAGTTGAATTCGCCTGCCTCTGGTGGGTGTGGTAGATAGAGAACAGACAAGCAGATCACATTTGTTTGGAATTTGATATATGTTATCACCTGACAAGGCACTACCATTAAGAAGTCTAGTGGAGCTGGGCACTGGTGGCTCATGCCTGTAATCCTAGCTACTCAGGAGGCTGAGATCTGAGGATCACGGTTCAAAGCCAGCCCGGGCAGGAAAGACCGTGAGACTCCTATCTCCAATAAACCACCAGAAAACTGGAAGTGGCGCTGTAGCTCAAGTGGTAGAGTGCTCGTCTTGAGCTGAAGAGCTGAAGGACAGCGCCCAGGCCCAGAGTTGAAGCCCCACGACCGACCAAAAAAAAAAAGTCTAGTGGAGAAGCAATAACCCATAAGTAAGACTGAATAAAGGAGAAATCT